GTGAAGCATGGAGGTGGCAGCATCATGATGTGAAGCATGGAGGTGGCAGCATCATGAAGTGAGGCATGGAGGTGGCAGCATCATGATACCGACTGAAATTCTGGCTGATCAAAATAAATATGATGTCAAATATAAATCTGCTGTTCAAGGATGTTTCATATTGTCAACAAATCTTTTGGAAAAATGACTTCATATCAATCCGACTAACAAACTGTCTAACGTACTGTCAAGTGTGCAGGATGTATTTTATTCCTCTTTGCCACAAAGCTTCATTTTTGCCCAGAAACTATTATAAGAAAACGTCAAATTGCGATTTTTCTTTAGCTCAATATTCACTGTGTGCTGGACTTAAAACATGTGATTGGATCACTAACACAGGAGACACCACTGAAAGCCTGACCTGGGCACAAAGAGGGTGACATGAATTATTAAAACCCGACAGTTTAAACCCTGGATCAGACGCACTGGTAAAAGCACAAGGTGTGGCTGTTAACCCTCTGAACTCTCACTGGTTTCTGGGCGTTTTATTTACTCCTGTCACATTTTTACTCACCGTTGACTCATTTTTTCACTGCAGTATAAAGTCCTGCACCTCTATGGAAACAACACAACCATGAATAGAAGAATAGAGAACTCATAAATCCATATTGTGCAGTATGACACGGTTACAATGACATACATTATAAGGGGGGAAAAATGAAAGTTGAATTTCTTTGATAACTTATTTTGCAAAAGAGAATCTAATCAACAATTGTCCACAGGTGTTACCAATACTGGGGAAAAACTCAACACACTGAAGATATTTCACAACTTGGATTATTCATTAGTTTTAATCAGTATCTCGTGGCTGCTCTGCATAAACACAGTCTGCAGTTCAACCACATTTAGCCAAACACAGTACACATTTTTGCTAAAGTCTTTGCAGTTGCGCTTAGAATTGTTTGTTTTGTTAGACTGTGGTGGGCACAAATGGCATATTTTGGACATTTTTTAATGATATGTTGATTAAATATCACGATATTAAGCTTAGATTTGGAGAACTTTTGTGACAGAGATTTAAAAACCCAACAGTTCACTCTGTTTTTACGGTGTCTGGCTCAGATAATCGCTAAAGACTGCACACCTGAATGCTACATCATCACCTTGAACTGAGCAGATTAGCTTCTGCAGCTCGATTGTTTTGTGGAGAACAGGTTTCTGTCCACACAGCGTGATGAATCAACACAGTAGAACAAACTCCCCCTGCCTCACTGAGACCCTGTTTACTTTGGATTTAAGAGAACATGAGCGCTGTCCGCCCTGCAGACACGCTAACACTTTCTTCTCTCCCCTCCTTTAACACGCTCGTCGGGTTTCTTCGGGCCTGCTGCCGTTCTCACTGTTTGCTTTTTTTTCCTCTCTGTGTGTTTCAGGAAGCACCAGCTGGATCCCAGCAACGACTACAAGGTGAGAAACAAACCTGCGGCGCAAACGTCTGATAAAAGACGGCAAAGAAAAACTTGAAATACGAAGAATATAAGATGCATATATGAAAAGCCATATACTAGGAGCTTTGACGCGTCATAAAAAACACACTCATGCAGTCATTAGTCTTCAACGTGTGCGAGGCATTCGTTCTACAGAGATTTTTCCATCCTTCATTTTCCATACGATGATTGTGCTCATGTTTCAGGTGGACAAGCAGGAGGTGGAGGCTTTGATTCCTAAAGGAGCCACTGAACTGACCAAACAACAAATGCGCTACCTGCTGCAGGTGAGACACGCAATTCAATCGTCATTCCAGTTAAGCGCCTCGAAATCAGCTCGTCAACCTCCATGTCGACCACAATACTGCATCAATACACATTTATCTCCAATGTCATTTGAATTTCAACCTTTTTTTCCATTTTGAATCTTTAAAAAAAACACAAAAAATATCACAAAGAGTTAAAACGAGGAGGTTCTCGCTGCTTTTCCTTCACCTCCTTCATCCAGACGTGTTGTTGTTTTCAAAATGCTTCTTTTTTCAGTTTCATTCAACTTCAACTTGTCTCTTTGTCTTGTTATTTCACCCTCCTGATCATAAACACTTGGTTTAATAAACACTAATGTGGCGTTTTTATGACATTTACAGTTCAGCAGTTGAGTTCAGAATACGTTTGCCAGCTACCACCTGCCTGTTGTTGCGTTTCAGACAATAAATAATGACTGACGCGGCGTTGCATCGCTCTAATTACACATAATGACAAACGGTACATGTGCACACATGAACCAGCCTTTGCAGACGCTGTAGCCTTTATTATCTGTTAATACACGCAAACACACACTTTACAGGTTTAAAACGTTTTTCTTTTTTTTAAAAAAACTTTATTGCCATTAACTCAGGTGACATCAGAAAGTTATAATTGTTGCACCTCTAGCTGGTGCTTTATGGAAACTTTAGTGAATAACAAGCAAGAAAAAATGTTTCTATTGTGAATGAAAGTGAGTTTATAATGCAAGTGCTTGTAAATAAGTAAGTAAGTGCTTAATTTCATCTCTTTATCTCAAAGTGATCACTAAGATGTCGGGCGCTGGACCCTCACTGACATTAACTGACCCTCCGCTTGTTGTTTTTTTGTGTTTCAGACTCGTCTGACTGCAGATAAAAGCATGCGTCTGCTGCTGTCCACCTTCAGCAGCCTGAGAGAGGAGCTTCTCCACATGTCCGAGGACCTTCGGGTGAGACCTGCCGCCGCCTGAAAAGAAAAACAAAACCGCAGCTTCAGCGCTGCACGTCTAAACTGCAGCGTCACATTAACGGAAAGGCAGGCTGGAGCGACAACACTTCAAGTTGTGTGAAGTGATTTAAGACCAATATTCCAACCGCAAGTCACACTGAAAAGCACATTGTTCCCAGAAGTTTAGGACTATTTCCCCTGAATATATTACATACCAGCACGAAGCAACAGCAGTATAATGACCACAAAGAGACAAAAAATGACTGTAAGAGGTGCAAAATGACCACAAAGAGACACAAAAGAGGCACAGAAAAACAAAAGATACACAAAAACCACCAATGACAATAGTCACAGTTTATTTTGTTGCTTCCAGCAGTTTAGGACTGTTTGTTTAGGACTATAACGGCCACAGAAAGGCACAAAATGACCACAAACAAACAAAAAATGACTGCAAACACACACAAATTGGCCAAAAAGTGATGAGAGATGACCAAACGGACACACAATGACCACAAAGAGACGAAAAACAGCAAAAATATAGATACAAACCACCACAAAGAGAGGTAAAATGAACAAAAATAGACATTAACACATGCAAAATGATTGCAAAAAGACACACCACCACCACAAATACACACAAAAAGAGACAAGAGAGGAACAAATAGAGACACAACAACTAAAACGAGGTGAATAATGTCCACAAAGAGAAGAAAAACGCAAACGATAAATACGAAACGTCCACAAAGAGAAGCAAAATGAACAAAAATAGACAGAAAACAACCAGAGCAACACAAAACAACTATAAAATGATGCAAATGATCTAATAACACAGTGCTGGTCTTCACATCAGACAGTGTATTTTGTTGCTTCCAGCTGTTTAGGACTATTTCCTCTGAGTTTGTTAAATACCAGCACGGAGCAACAGCAACGACAACAAACAGGCACAACATGACAAACGTTAGATATAAAACCAACACAAAGGAAAGTAATGAAGAGAGAGACTGGATCAGGATCTGATGACACTGAGTGCACTGAGTCACAGTTTATCAGGTAAATCAAGACGAAGCGATCTACGAGCGAATGACTAGAACGCCGTCACTTCAGCAGAGTGAAGCAGTGACGTTGAATATCCCACAGGGCTTAAGAGACGCTGACAGAGTCGAGCTGAGTCTCCGTTTAGTCACCAGATTTCATCACAGCGAACCGGGATCGCTGCAGACCAGCCCTGTGTGGGTCACTCTCAGCTGTAATTGAGGCTCTTGAAGAAACCGGCGCCTCCAGTTTGACTCGGTGGTGACGGCAGGAGGAAATAATAGGTAGCAGACAAACACAGTATCAAGGAAACAGGCTCTTAGATCGTCTACAGTGGTTCATCGGCAGCTTTTCATTGTGGTTCTGCTGCTTCATCGTATTGTAGGAGGATTGAAATACAGATGAAACCACAAGTTTACATCCACTGTATGAAAACACACATGACCTGTTTTTCTCTGTCTGACATTAGACTAAACTCGTCCTGTTTCAGGTCTGGTAGGATCACCAACATTATTTCTATTTGCTAAACGCCAGAATAATGAGAGAGAGAATATTTTACTACTTTCTTCAGATTCAGAAGTTTCCATCCATCTCCTCAGTATTTGGTATCGTTGCCTTTAAACTCTATGACTTGGGTCAAACGTTCTGGGTTTCCTTCCACAAGCTTCTCACAATAGTTTGATGAGTTCTGGTCCATTCCTCCTGACAGAACTGCTGGAACTGAGTTCCACTAATGCTCCACTAATGTTCTCCAGGATGGAGATCAGGGCTTTGTGATGGCCACTCCACAACACTGACTC